GGCAATACGAATCGCCACCTGTCTGCTGTCCCGCTCTTCTCCCCCTCTGCCTCTATCTGGCCGGCATTACTGCTGCCCAACCCAAGGGGTCTGGATGAGTACACTGTAATCCATCAATCTTTGGAACGTTACATGACAATTCAAAAGAATGTGCTAGATCTAGAAATATAGAGAAATATATATTATGATTTATACTTACCAAACTAAGCTACAGGGTGGACAGTATGATGCCATTTGTTAAAAATACTAAAAACAAAAACAAAAACAAAACCCACCTGCACATTTTCTGAGTACAGCATCCATGTAGAAGAAAATACAAAGAAAAGGGTCTGAACAGAATTACCCCAACACAGAGCGTCCTACCCTCTCATTGATTTATGAAATGTGGTCAGCGTGCAGAATTTGAATTCCAGGCCTATGGGTCACTGCGGCTTGACCCAGAGTCATTTTTATTTGGTGGGCTATTATCTCCTAAGGTGGCTCTGGGCATCTGGGGGGCAGTAGCAGTCAGGAGTGGCATTCTGGAGGAGTAGATGTGAGTTAGTTGGATTCGGGTGCTCACTCAACTCTGAGACTCCGAGACTCTTTGATCCTACGAGTGTGACTGAAAAATTCTAAGATTGGTTCTTCTAAGAGAGGAAGTGGCGAACGTTGGTCCTCTGTGTTTCTATAAATAAAGTGTTACTACCACACAGCCCATTCATTCACCTGTTTCTATAGCTGCTTTCAGGCTACGATGTCAAAGTTTGGTAATTACAACTGCGAGTACATGGCCCACGGAATCTGTTTATTATCTGGCCCTTTATAGGAAAAATTTGCCAACCCCACGTCTAAGAGTCTAGGGTTCTGAGACTGGGTTATGCTGGTGGGATTACACGCCCCTGGGCTGTGGGCAATGATTTTATGTAGAACTCAAATTAATGTTTTAAATTTTAATAGTGCTGCATTTATTTGAACTATATATATTAGAAGAAAAACAAATAGTAAATCAAGTTCATGATGTCATAGATGTACTTAGGACAGGGCTAGGTACAAAAGTGAGTGTAGTTCTTTTTTTTTTTTTTTTTTTTAATGTTTATCTACTTTGAGAGAGTGCATGTGTGCATGAGTAGGGGAGGGGCAGGGAGAGAGGGAGAGAGAGTCCCAAGCAGGCTCCACGCTCAGCACAGAGCCTGATACAGGGCTCGATCCCACAACCCTGGGATCATGACCTGAGCCAAAATCAAGAGTCAGATGCTTAACTGAGCCCCAGGAAAAGTCTTAAGACTTAAATGGTGTGGTGTAAGATCTAACAAAAACGAAGACGGGAGAAGCTGATTTGGGAGCCTTGGGTTATGTCAGTCCTTGGTGCTGGGGTATGACGGGCAGGCCCCAGAGCCCCATGCCTCCTGACGGTGCCCCCCTACTCCAATCCTGGCCCAGACTCTGAGGTGCACCATCACAAGCCTGACCTTCTGGGACCCCAGCTGCCAGGCTGAGGACAGAGATGAACAGTTTGTCCTGCGCAGCACCTACTCCAGCTGTGGCACGGAAGTGACAGACAATGTGGTCAGTAATGAGGTAAGAACTAGGATGGGCAGGAAAGGTATCTGGGCCAGCTTAGCTGGTGCCTCCTTGACCTTCCAGGTTGAAGGGCCTTTGGGAGAGTGTGGTGTGGTGCTCAGTAGAAGACAAACTTAGCCATCGGTTGCCTCAGTCTTCCCATCCATTAAATGGGTGGTTTGGGTGGGAAAGTACCCTCTGGGGTACTTTGTGGCTCTGACCTTGGCTCTTTTCCTGCAGGTGGTCATCAACCTCTTGTCAAGTTCATCACCGCAACGGGTGAGATGGATGGTTACCATGCTAACCCATCTGGTTCAGGGTCCTGGCGCCCCTTCCTGGCCTGGGAGGGAGCAGGCTTCAGAAAACTCAGGCCCCGATCCTGGCAAGCCATGTTATCTTGAGTGTACCTCAGTCTCCCCCAGTACTGTTTGGGGTTACATTCTCAGCCTCTCCGGTCGGAGGATTCTAGTACATACTGGCTGTGTGGCCTTGTGCAAATCCACTAAGCTTTCTGGGCCCAGAAGTTATGTCTGTAAACAGGGGCGTAAGAAAGGATCCCCCCCACGGGGGTGCCTGTGAACAGTCACCGAGCAGACACATGGAAAACCGTTCACACAGGCCTGGCACAGGGCAAGTTCTTGATAAATGTTAGCTTTGTTTTTTGTTTTTTTTTAAGAGGACAATCAGGGTCAGGCAGCAACTTGGGACCATGGCTCCTACTCCCACCCCCACCCGCACCCCTTCCTTACCTTCCTAAGCTGGGTGCCTCCCAGACTGACCATCCCCCGCTCCTGTCTCCCGCAGAAAAAGGTGCACTGCATCAACATGGAGGGCCTCTCCTTCCAGCTGGGCCTGTATCTCAGCCCGCACTTCCTCCAGGCCTCCAACACCATCGAGCTGGGGCAACAAGGCTTTGTGCAGGTACTGGCCTTGACCTCTCCACCTGCCCACTCCCGGGATCCTTAGAACCTTCCTTTCCACCATTAGGACAGAGAAGGTGTGCGAGGAGGCAGCCAGCACGGTGCGTGGGGGAGGGGGAGACACTGGGTGGAAGGTCTTCTCCTCCTCGTTTGCTCCAGGCAGACCCAGGGCTGTCCTTATCGCTGGGGTGGAGCTCCAGAACGAATCTAGCTTATTCCACGAGAGCAAGGGTGAGTAACTGACCATGCCTCATCACTCTCACCTCCCCCTGCAGGTGAGCATGTCCCCATCGATCCCTGAGCTCATGCTCCAGCTGGACAGCTGCCAACTGGATTTGGGGCCTGACGCGGACACCGTGGAGCTCATCCAGAGCCAGGTAGCCAAGGGCAGCTGTGTAAGCCTGCTGTCCCCGGGCCCTGGTGGTGACATGCGCTTCAGCTTCCTCCTCCGTGGCTACATGGTGCCCACACCCACGACTGGCACCCTCAGCTGCACCATAACCCTGCGCCCGAGGACTTGGTCCCTGGTGAGTGGAGCCTGAGCCAAGCTCAGCTTCAAGGGTGGCTTCGGGCCCGGGATTTCCAGGAAGGGATGTGACAGCCCATGTTATGGGAGCAGCTGGCAAGGGGCAGAACCAGACTGGCGTGTGGCTTCTGGCTACCAAGGGTACTTACTCTTTGTGCCACCCTGCTGCCGTCTGATGGCTTTGCTGTATCTCGGACATTAGTAGACTTGCCGCTGCCCCCATCCATCCTTCCTTCCATCCATCCATCCTTTGCTCCTTTCTTCTATCCATCTCTCCTTTTTTCCATCTATCCATCAATCCTTCCATCTACTCATTCCTTCTACCATCCACCCCTCTGTCTGGCCCTCCTTCCATCAGCCATCATTCCATCCATCCATCCATTTGTCCTTCCACCAATTCATCCACCCACCATCTGTCCTCCCATCTTTCCTTTCTTTCTTCCACCTATCCATCCTTCCTTTCTTCGGCCATTTTTCTTCCCTTCATCTTTCCACCATCCATCCTTCCAACAACCACTCATTCTTCCTTTCTTCCATCCATGCATCCTTCCAGCACCCATCTATGTTCATGCATCCTGCCTTCCACCATCCCACCTAGCCATCCATTCATCAATTGACACTTCTCATCATCCCACCCAGTCATTCATCCGTAGTCCTTCCACCATCCCAGCCAGACAGCAGCCTCCTACCATCCCACCCGGTCATCCATCAATCTACCCACCCAGACTTAGCCCTCTTTCCATGTGGTGCAGTCACCAAAGCCACTACCTTAAACAAATCTCAGCAAAGAGGGGTTAAGATAAAGGACACAAAATTCTGATTTTCTCTTTCACCGTCCAGTGGGGATCCCCGTTCTCAGGCACACAGCTCTGGACACACACACCCCCAGGCCCTGGCACACAGAA